CTTTCCCTATTGTAATGTCAACCCTATAAGCATTATTTATAGGCTTAATTATATTTCCAGTATATAACACAAGACAGATACTTCTCACTTCAGTTTCCCTTAGTAACCACAAATGTGAAAAGCTGACTGCAGCACAGTTTGAGGGTCATTTCAAGAACAGAACAGGCAGAGAAAGGCTCCATTTTCAGATACTGCTGCAGAAACAGATCTGTACAGTAAAAGGTATAGATCTATGAAAATTATTAGAATGCCAGAAGGTCAGTACCAAGACATAGCCTTCCCCCACAACTTCATTCTGTTGTCAGCAGTTTATTAATAATGCTGAAAACAGGGAACTTGCACATGATATTATAATTAATGTTACTTACCATGTCTAACTAGTTACCTAAAAGTAAACTAGTCAGACCAATTAGCTTGTGGGTTTGTTTTTTTTTTTAAAAAGCCAAATAAAAAAGCATTATTCAAGTACTATTAGCTAATTCCAGATTTAATTCCTGTCAAAAATAAGCTATCAGATACACACAATTCTAAGATTAAAGGTGATGCACATTACTGTTTTGCTTATATATTGTAATGAAACTTTAAGTCTGCACTTCCTATGCAATGACATTCTAACAATAAAGCAGTAACTTACAGAATATTCAATAGTCCCTTTAGGCTTTTGAAAAGACATTCGTCGCCCATCTTTCTTGTCTGGGGTCTTCTTCTGGCCAGTGTCTGAAAAAAATTGAGGCAACGTGCGTGTTAAATTCATTTTCCTCTCTCAGTACTGTCACAGGCTGCTGACTACAGCCCCGTGGGCAGACATCTAATTCACCAGTTACACAGCTTGCTCCCAGTGACTCTGTCTAACAGACAACCGGCTGCTAGAATGGGGACTTCATTCCTCTGCAATGTTTTAAGAATTTGACCAATATAAGCCACAGATAACTGGGAATCAATTAACTGCATAAGTACTTGCTGCTATCCAGGAAGCCTTAAATCAGAGACTGACCCCATGAGGACGCAACATTTCTGGAACTACTGTGTTTAATTGGTTTCATATCATACCCAGACTACTGTTATTTAGAGGGGAGATGATCTAGAATTCCTGTACATTCGATCTCATCAGTTGGGATCTTTTGTCTAAAAGCTGTTTGATAAGTACAGTATTTAAAGCTTTTTTTATCTAAAAAAAAAAACAACAAACATGAGTATTTTAACTCCACAGTTATCCTGTCTGTAGCAAACGCATACAGCCTATGCATAAACAATAAAGATTCCAAATAAATAACACAAGCTAAGAACTGTTCTTTTTATTGGGGCATTGTATTTTGATGACCTCCATTTCATAAGCCAAATCAACAACAATTTTCACCTGAGGTATACTCTACTTCCTGATACTAATTGGCTTGATATTTATGATTAAGACAATGTAACAGTGTACTTACATGATTCGGAAGAAAGCATTTAATTCTACATATCTAGAAAAGTGGGGTTTTAACATATCCGCTTTACACATATGCATTTTTTGTGGTGAATCTCTTAAGAAATTAGCTCTCTACCACAAGGCCTCCACTTTCAACAGTTAAATATCTGCTATGAAGGAGCCCAAAATACTTACATGAATATGTTAGGTTTTCATGCTGCAATGGGATTAGTTATACTCCCATTTTGATACATTCACATTTGTGTTACCATAACTGAATATATTTAATGAAATATTTCAAACCAAATTGAATAGAAGAAACAAACCTTACTTAAAAATATTTTAGCACAGCTACATCGAGAATAGAAAACATGCTGTATGTCTATTTAAGCCTCACCTGAGGTACTAAGAAAACTTGCTATAAATTGACAGCAACTTTTGTGCATCACTATTTTTAGTTAGCATCCCGACTGCAACAACGGAAAAGAGACTAGACAAATACTTGCACGAATTTCATACACCCCTCATTTCTACACGGGTAGTTGAAATTATCAAGATGGGTGGGGGGTGCGTGTGTGGAAATCCAACACAAAATACACAGGAAGTTCTGCAGTGTCAAAAAACAAGAAATAAATACACATAAAAAAATAAAACCTCAGCAAATACCTTACATTTCCTGTATTGGGCAAACTGCAGAGGGCAACAATAAAAGTGATTTATAGCAGATTCAATTTAAGTACGCTGCTGAGGTGCTCTTTTTACAATAAGGAAATAAACACTGGACTAATTCTACTTTTCTCAATATATTGGAAAAAGTCTGAGGGAGAATGTTCCCATACGTACAAGATAAAAATTGATCTATAGATGGTATTAATTATCATAAGTTTTTATAGCAATGAATGACAGTCAAGACTAAGCCTACTTCAAAAAACTCTCTAGAAATTCTCAAAATCTAAACATTTCTGCATCTAAACATTTCTAAACAATTCTGCATCCTACTATCTTCACACAATGCATTAAAAGGTTATTTCTTCCCTTATTTACTAATTGCAGCTTTTAAAAAGTTGCCTGAAAGAAACCTTTACTTCAGATTACATTAATGGTTTTTAAAGATGCTCCAAAAGTCTCTAGGGAAAATTAAACCAAGTCAGTAAGGAATACAATACACTAGAAGTTTGTGTGCAGACTAACAGTAGGCAACATTCTCTTCGTCCAGGTCAAATATTTTGCCACCAAAGTTTTTACCTGACCTCACAACACAACAGGAGCCTCCAAGCTACTGAAAAACTGCAACAGCTGCTTGACTGTAGCCATTCCAAGTTTTTCAGTCCATATCAAAGCTTTGCCAGCAGTCTAATTATTTTCTTTCAACAGCAGTCTGGTTCAAATACTCCTAATCAAAAGTCAAATGATGCAGCTGAAGACAGACTGATCTAATCCAGGATCCCATACATGACTTAATAATCTATACATGGAGCACTCTTGTGGAACAAGCAACTTAACTCCCCCACCCACCCCCTCATGCTATTAGATAGAAATAAAGGTGGCCCATACTACCACTGTATAAAGACACTTCATTTGTATATAGCCCAATGTTGTGTGGGGTTTTTTTTCTTCCTAACCCAAATTTAAGTTTCATTTTTCTTCTTACTAGTTCATGTATAAATGTCTAAAGAGTTTGCAGAAAGGTGCCACTCAAAGCAGGTCTGGAGGAGGACCATAAAAATGCTCAGAGGGATGGAACACCTCTCCTGTGAGGACAGGCTGAGAGACTTGGGGTTGTTCAGCCTGGAGAAGGGAAGGCTCCAGGGAGACCTTCTTGGAGCCTTCCAGGACTTCAAGGGGGCTTCTAAGAAAGATGGGGACAGACTTTTGAGCAGGGCCTGTAGCAACAGGACAAGGGGTAATGGTTTTAAACTAGAAGAGAATAGATTCAGACTAAATCTAAGGAAAAAAATTTTCACAATGAGAGTGGTGAACCACTGGCACAGGTTGCCCAGAGAGATGGTAGACGCCCCATCCCTGGAAACATCCAACATCCAGGTGGACGGGTCTCTGAGCAACCTGATGTAGTTGAAGATGTCCCTGCTCATTGCAGGGGGGTTGGACCAGATGACCTTTAAAGGTCCCTTCTAACCCAAACTATTCTATGATCTGCTCCCTCTGCAGTAATTGAACTGTAGAATGAAGTCTTGCACAATAACAACTTCTGTTCCTTATGCCAAAAATAAAAAAGGAAAGTTATTTCTTCAGAGCAGAAGGACCTACTATGATTTAGACTTCAGAGCGCTCTGGTAACTTCAGGAAAGTAAAAGCAACCAGAGGGGCGGAGGTGGCGAAAGAAGGTCCCTGCTGGAGGCATGCTGGGGGAAAGCAGATGCCAAGAAAACTCATACCACAAACTCCCCAGGCTCTTATAATCTACAGTTTTTCATAGTTCTTTTTTAAATATCATCCCCTCCCATACCTAAGACAGTAAGTCCTGCTCTTCCCTTCAGTGCCCACTTCCACTCCTTCCCTGTGCGACAGCTTTATTTCCCCCTCACTATATGGATACAGGATTCAAGTGTTTCATAACCTACTGTGACCCTAGTCCAAGTCAAGAAGAGATGGGGGCAGGCAGTGCTGTGCTACATGTGCGCTGCCCACCCAGCTGGCCACGCACCAGGCGTAGCTACCAAACACCTCTGCCCACAGCCCGAGTGCTTGAGCTGCCTGTTCATAGAGAACCCACCGATTCCACCTGACATCTCAGAAACAAAACTAGGAGGCATTTCGACTATGAAAATAGGTCAGAGTAGCAGACAAGAATGCGACCTCCCTGATGGCAAACCACGAAACCTCCAACTAACTCACTGAATGAGCGGGCTATTTATTTCTGAGAGGACAGAAAAGTCTTTCAGCCATCCTTGTGCCCTCAGCACTCTAGAAAGCATGTGATAGTGGGAAAAACTGCCAGCACAGGATGCAGTGGTCTGAAAAGACTTCAGCACCAGTGGGAATCAGTCTCATCCTTTTGTTTTACTTATTTTCCTGATAACTTTGTTGCACATGAGCTCATCTTGTTAGGTTACACACAATCACTAGCTCATTTACCAGCAGTAAACCAGTAAGACTACAAAAGGCTGGTGTTCTCAGACTATAGGTATAAGAAAAACCTGACACCACTGACCACACTGCTCAAGAGTCAACAGTGACTTGTATAACACGGGGACCTGTGGTGCTAGGTTATCAGATCTCCAGCTATGCTGTTCTAGAGAGAAACAAGAGAGACCTTTTGTAACATCAGGGTTGACGCTTTAATTCTGAAATACCATTTCACAAGACTGGGCCTCCACAACAGCTTGAAACACTGAAGTGAAAAAGTACATCTCAGATCCACAAATGACAAGAAAATACTTCAACTGTCTAGGATTTAAAAGACTAGAACTAGAAAGATAGAGAAGGCAGTGTTCAAAATGACACCAGACCAATATTTAGCATGAATGCTGGATGACTAGATAGGAAAAGGGTTTTCAGGAACACTGTGTTTTAGGAACATACAGCTTTCAATGAGGCAGCTTTGACCACAAGATATGGAATAGTCAGTGGCATTATTCAACAGAAATTTGAAGGCAACTGAAGTTAAATTCCAGTATTTGTAGGTGAGTTCTACTGACCGCCTCTGTATGGCCCTGTGCCACTGAATTTTGGTTGACTGAAAATATTCCTGTGGCACTGCTAGTTCAAATCGACATTACAAGAGTGACATTTCTCATTTCTTAGTATGCCATGTGAGCTGAATAGCAGACCTTCATTTTTCTGTTTGATGATGCTTCTAGCACATCCTTTGGACTTCTGGCAATAAAAGCTGGTAAAGAGAACTCAAGATTTGTACTTTGAGTAACAATGCAATGATACATGCTAAGAATTGCTTAGGAGTATCTTCAAGCTCTGCATAGAGCACAATGTATTAAATTTTCTTTTACCCTACTATTTTTCTGCGTGATAAGCTTAAATCTCAAACAAGTTGCCATGTTTCTCTTCATAAGCTGCTGACCTTCTATGCATTTCAGTGTTAACAGAAGTTACCAAAAATCATTTTTTCCTGAGAAATATTGATAAACCAAACAAGTATCCTTTGATAAAGCAAGTAAGCTGTACAAGTCAACAATTAATGCAAATTGTTTACAATTAATTACTGAGCTTATTATGGTCAAGAGATGAGAACAAGATGATTCACACCCCTCCCCCAACAAGAGCGGCAAGATATGCATTACATTTACATGTGTTTTAAGAAAAAGGCAGAGGCAGCAGCCTTGTTAAATGCTTGTCTAGGACACAATTTTTCGCAGGATCTTGTTAAAAAAAAACAACCACCACACAGCACATATGGGGTAAAGATTGTTAAAAACTGAATCACAAGAAGGTAAGGAAAGAAAAGTAGTCTTTCTTCAAAATATTCTCAAGTATGTTGTTATTTAGCAGCTCATGAAACGATTTTCTAATTGATAAAACAGAAGCAGCATAAATATTGTATCTTTATTAGATTAGTTCTACTCAGTAACAATTAGATCTTTATAGTCTATTCATAAAGAAACAAAAAAGATTCAAGTAGGAAATCTTTATATCCCATAAGGTTTGGTGACTTGGTGTTCTTAACAGCAGGGGCTACATCTCAACAGAGCAACTGTCTTGTTGACCCTACTCCCGCTCCTGAAGTTAGATATGCTTATGCTAATTACTGGAATATTATTTTCAGTTATCTTCCAATGTCTTAGGAACCAGAAACAAAGAGGCCCTAACAGCAGCCTACAAGATGCCAGCAGCCTGCAGTTTTCTATCCAAAATGGGAGTTTTTCAGACCAAGGCGGTGTCACAAACAATGCCCCTTTTAGTCTCCTCTTGCTAAGTAACTACTTATTCTGTGATTCAGTCTTTCCTAGTAAGTCATGTTCTCAACACTCTTAATCCTTATCACCGCTCTCCATGTGATTCTTTCGGTGACGTTTTTCTCAAGCAAAACCCCAAACTAAATGCATCCAAAACCTTGTTAATGCTGCACCAACACGTCAAACACATCAAAATAGCTTTTTCCTGCAGCATAGATTCAGCACTCATCCCAGTTCACTTTGCGGTCCCCCTTAACACATGACCCTCTTTTCTGCTCTCCAGTCAGCTGCATGGCATATAGGCAGAAATAACTAAATGCATGATTTCAGGATGAAAAGTAATTCAGTAGAAGCAAATTTAAAGCTGGCCACTTCCCCAGATGGCTAGGAGACATAAAGCCAGCTCCATGCATGACGCTCCTGGTATGTGCATCGCACGGGCTTTCTTCTAAAATAACATTTCAAATTCAAGGTAAACAGAAATGCTTCACCAAATTTTCAGATTATGCCACGGTATTTGTTAACAACAGTAAGCTTCCTTCCCTGCTCCACCTAAAATATGTATGTATACGGTTTAATACATTAGAGATCATCTAACTGCAATTTCCACCTACTATATAACCTCTCTGCAGACCAAATGTATTTATTAATGAAAACTTGCAAAAATCATGACTGCTCTATTGAAACAGCAAAGGAAGTCAACTTTTCCACCAATTATTGTCCTTCCTCTTTCAGCTATTTAAGCCCATTTATTTGTATATCTTCAAGTCTACACAATAACCCATAAGCAGTTTGACCATCAACCAGCAATATCAAGTTATCCTGAGACATCTTTAAGAATTTACTCTGTCTTATCACACTTAAGCCAATGGTACCTAGCTTTTCTAAGAGTTCAAGATCAGTCAGCTTATCCTAATGATGCAGCAGGCTTGTGCACTAAAACTGCTCTGCTAACATGCAAACAGATTTATTGTATATGTGAAGTTATACCCAATGATGTGGTAAACATCTTGACTGTACAAGTTTATTGCATTAGGTTTGCAGATGACATCGAACTAGGGGGACCAGTCAACATACTTGAGGGCACAGCTGCCATTCAGAGGGACCCGAAGGCTGACAGGAACCTCATGAAATTCAACAGGACAACAGTCCTCTGCACAGGAAGGCAGAGCCCCTTGTGTTGTATGGGCTGGCACTGCCCAGTCAGGGAGCGGCTCTGCGTAAGAAAACCCCTGGGAGTCTTCGTAGGCAGTAAGATGAACACAAGCCAGCAGTGTGCCCCAGCAGCAAGGAGGGCCAACAGCATCCTCGGTTGTCTTAACAGGAGCATAGCCAGCAGACAGTGTGCCGGCGAGAAGCAGCATGGCACTCAGACTGGTTTTGGAATACTGGCTCTAGTGTCCCCACGCCACTCCCCCCTGTCCCTTTCAATATAAGAAAGGCACTGATAAACAAAAACTATTTCAGTGAAGGGCCACCAAGGTAGTTGGGGGCTGTGAGAAGAGGCTAAGAGAATGGAGCTTCTCCAGACTGAAGAAAAGGTGGGTTTGAGGGACTGTACAGCCTTCCTGTACCTTCTAGATAACTTCCCTGCAGGCATCAAGATGACAGAGCCAGGCTCTACAGCGATGTATAGTGAGAGAAGAAAAGACAACAGACATAATGGACAAGCAGGAGAGCTTCTGATTGGAATAAAGGTAAAAATCTAATTGTGCAGAGCAGTTGTGCAGTTTCCATCCTTGGACGTTTTCAAGGTCCAGCTGGATAAAGCACTGAGAAACCTAGCCTGAAGTCACAGTCCTACTTTTTAAGCAGGACTAAACAGTCTCGCTTGCCATTTGAGTTATCTGTAACTGTGATTCTTCCCACATTTTTCCGGCAGGTAATGCAGATGCATGAGGCCACCACCAAAACAAGTTTTGCAGCTGTTTTTAAGGCCACCTCTTCCCTTGCCTCCCCAAACCAAGCCAGAGGAAGATCCACACATGTAACACAGTAAGGCTGTGTTGCTTATGGATGAACAGAAAGGTATTATTCACACACGTAGTAAGACGAAAGGCAGCCATGAGCATGCAGGTTCTCAATAAAACATCAGCTTCAAAACTATTTTAATGTTAGAAATGGGAATTAACCAGAAGTAAGATAAAAATGCAACATGACACATGAAAACATAAATGCAATATACTCACAGGATACCAGATTACTAGAATAAACCATACTTACATTATAAACTAATTTATAGCAGATGTCTGAAAGATATAAACTAAACTTCAGTAAAACATCCAATACACCAGAATGCCACTGAACAGTAACAAATGGACCAAGAATTGTAAACTATGTCAAAAATTCCCTAAAGGGGAGAGTGAAATAGAAACTAGCAGAATGGAGGGGTATATTAATGAGTTCCCAATGGACTAGTTTTTAAAACAGTTCAACTGCACATCAGCAAACAAACTTGGAAGCACAATCACCAGCAAAGGCTGGGCAAAAGGACACACAAGGAATTCTGTAGCCCCAGAGCCTGGAGAAAAAAGCAGGGTGAGATGTAGCAGTACAAAGCATAACATGAAGATCATTTAACATCATATACACCCAGGGAACAGTCAAGAATTTCTATATGCTAGTAGCGCGTAAGTCGGAAGAAGAGATTGTGCATACATTAACATATCACAAGATGACTGACTCACCAGCCTGATACATTCCAAGATCACATTTGCTTCTTATGCCTGTACCAACTGAAGTATTTTCAGACATGAAAGCGAAGCATTAGCGTCTTTGTAAAGGGTGCTGGCACATTTCACATGTGCTTCATCCGGAACAGGGTGTACAAGAAAACTTGCAGAATTATGTCTCCCCAATTTGAAGCCTCCCTCATACTTTATCATACACCTGCTGAAGTTAATGTCTTAATAGTGAAGTACTGAATAAGGATGAAGTGAGGAAGTAGCCTACCTTATTCTTATGACTGCTTTATTCCGAGACAGATTTTTAGAAAGGAAGATACTAAGTTTTAAAGCAGGACTTGAGAAACATAGTGTAATCTGGCCCTGTGCATTCATCTTTCTAATGCACTGCTGCTACCTTCACCATAGTACAGTGGACCAAGAGGCCACATGGCTTACCAGATATACTGTGTACGGTTATCTTGCCAATCAAGACTCGAAAGCCAGTAAGAAAAAAATGTAAATAAACCCACAGGCCACATGGTTCAGAACTGAACAATCAAGTTGAGCCTGAGGGAGAAAAACAACAAAAAAACTCCACCTTATAATAGAAGGCAGCTAGAAGAATTTCCCCGATAGACTGGTTAAGAGGATTCTCTGAACGGAGAGTTCTGAAGGAGTTCTGAACGATTGATTTTCATTTCTTTAACTTCTCTACTTAATGAGAGACATACTGCAGGAAATCAAGACTGCCTGTGCAGTGTATCCTCTCCTTCCACAAAGTGACGACAAACAGGAGTGAGGTGAAAACGTCTAGGAGGGAAGCAACATCAAACTCCAGGTATGGAAGTACATCCTCACAGAATCAAAGTTATTATCTGGACGAAACCTCTTGAGTATATCTATTCCAGCCTCCAGTTCAAAGCAGGAATATTGTCAACATCAAATGAGGTCAGCTGAAAACTGTAACCTGTGCCAATGACGGACCACTCTCCTTGTGAAGTTTTTTCTATTGTCCAAATTGAACCTCTCAAGCTAAAACTCATGGCTGCAGCCCCTTCTTTTATCACCTCTTGCAACTGAGAAGAGTGTGCCCCTTTAGGTAGATATAGGTCACTATCAGATTGTCTCTAAGCCGCCTCGGTCTCCTCTTCACAAGACTAAAGCCCAGCTCCCTCAGTCCCTCCTAAACGGTCATATGCCCTATGCCCCTAAACATACTGTCTGCACCCTCTGTAGTTTCTCAGCAGCTTTCTTCAACAGTGGTGCACCAAACCAAAGAGCATTCAAAGTACAGCCTCACCAGTGTCACAGAAAAGAAGCAAAACCACATCCCTCACCGCCAGCCACATTCCCCCTTACACAGCAGACAAAGCAAACTATGTTTTAGCATACTAAACTATGAGACATGATGTTGGCCCTTTTAAGCAAGAGCTTTGTATAGATGAGAATCAAATTAAGCTGAAAGTTCAAGTTAAATCTGCAGTAAAGATAATGTGTAATTACACATTCCCTAAAGCCTTGAGTTGCATCTTAAAGCAAATAAAAATGCATGCAACTTCAACACACTAACACCTACAATATATACCAATAAACAAGAAAGCTACACTCTCTTCTAGCTAAGGTTTCTAGGTAAATCCAGACCTTGTTTAGGTAGATTTATTACATATTTTTGCATATATTTAATACATAGATACTAGCTCTTTCTAGAAATTATGAATAGACTATATTTAGAAGCTATATTTCAAAGCCCACAAGGCCTTTTTTTTTTAAAAAAATAAGCAAGAGCTTTGTATAGATGAGAATCAAATTAAGCTGAAAGTTCAAGTTAAATCTGCAGTAAAGATAATGTGTAATTACACATTCCCTAAAGCCTTGAGTTGCATCTTAAAGCAAATAAAAATGCATGCAACTTCAACACACTAACACCTACAATATATACCAATAAACAAGAAAGCTACACTCTCTTCTAGCTAAGGTTTCTAGGTAAATCCAGACCTTGAATACATAGATACTAGCTCTTTCTAGAAATTATGAATAGACTATATTTAGAAGCTATATTTCAAAGCCCACAAGGCCTTTTTTTTTTAAAAAAATAAATTTTACACTCTGAAATGATTGGTAGCACCTTTACTAAAGCAAGATGCTTTCTCCAGAATTTCTGGTTCTCTTTGCATTTTTACCCTCCACCACAACCACTACAAGACCAAATACCTTTCTAAAGTTATTTCACTGACTTGGCTGCTGACACAAACACTGTAAACTGGTTAAACAGGTTTACAGACTCCTATGGCAATACTCAGTCTCTCAGTGCCTCCTTTCTCCCTACTAAGAAATACTATAAACTGTTCTGTATGTACCCAAAAAAGTACACACGCTCAGAACAGCTTTGGAACAGACTTGACTCCCTGAGCAGCTGTTCAACTTGTTTAGAAAAACAAGCAAGAAACAGTAAACTAAGTTTACTAATACTACAGGAATAAAATTGAGATACTTTATTGTAGAAGTTAATTTAAAAATAATTAAGAATAAAAAAGGTTGTTTTTTGTTTCAGAAATGTGGAAATAGGGTTTTAAGGTATTTATGAAGAATTGTTCTTTTAAGAAGTAATGCACAGTCACAACTGAAACATGCAAAGAAAATGAACACTGAAAAGGTCCTTCTGAACGTCCTAAGTGGGGTGGAAAAAGCTAGAGTAAGATGTAGGCCTGGATCCAGAACACCACATACAGAGATTGAACATTTGGAATAGCTAGAATTTGCCATTAAGGTTTAAGTTAATGTGGACCCATCTCTAATTAAAGAGAGGTTGGATTTCAACTGAAGTATTGTAATGATTGTTACAGCTTCCACAGCGCCCATTACCAGGGCACTGGTGGTTTGTGAAAGCCAGCAAAACGTTTGCCAGAAGAACAACTCTACGGTCAAAAGAATTTGTTTCTGCCCATAACTGACAGAAACTCCGTGAAGGCGAAGACAGCATGGGAGGGCCAGGATCTAATTGCCTCGCATGGTGTGCTTTGCCTAGGTTAGGAAAACCCCGAAGTATGGTTTTGTCAAAAAGGCACATCAAATTCTATATGCACAGAAATACACCATGCATTCCAGAACTGCAGTCACTTTTCCTTAACACAAATTTTAAGTACTGCATTTTGCAAGTATCTGAGGAAATACACTTCCTGCTCAAAGCCAGGGAAAACCCCAAAACAGTATAATGCAGCCTAATTTAATCCTTTGTCCCACAGAAAGAGGGGAAGAACAGTTCACAGAGAGCTTCTCCCCCCAAGAAATCACATGTATGACAGGAGACACTTTAAACTCACAGCCCAACACATGGCCTTGTAACTGATTAAAAGACCAGAAGATGCTAAAGAGTTTTACTGTCATTTTGCTTCTGCAAAAGGGTGTAAGTAATCTTTGTCAACACGTCTTTGACAGTTTGTAGAGGCCTCATTCAAGGTACTTCAACTCACTGCTGCAACACAAGTTGCTATCTCTTTCTCTCCCTTCTCTTTCTGAACAATACTTCAGTTGAAATCCAACCTCTCTTTAATTAGAGATGGGTCTTGGGAGAGAGGGAGATGCAAAAAGGAAAGAAAGAGTGGCACTGTCAATATAGCTGGTTACTGATTCTCCTTTCCCTGTAGAAGTGTGATCCACACAAGACTACCTCATCTACACCTGACAGACTGCATGGGCATTTCTACCGCCTTGTCTACTACAGTAAGTAGAAGACCTTGTTTCTCTTGATAAAAAAACCAATTTTTTTACTCTTCCAAAATAACCAAAAGTAGCAAAGAAACTTAATGGTCTTCAATATTACCTTTTAATTGAAGCTTGACTTCAACCTTACCTATGGACTATGACAAACGTGATCATTCACTTAGCACAGAGATTCTTGAAACAGGAAAAAAGAGGAAAACATTTACTATTCATTTTATACTGCTCTTCAGATTTTTTAGAAAGCATTTTCACAAACTGAACTTCATCTGTCTGCCTTTCCAAGCAGTTCTTAGACCATGCCGCTTTTAATAGTTACGTCACAGTTTGTTTTTTCTCTGCAGTCAATAGCATTACCACCCTAGAGTGCTTATTGCCCCGTCCTCTTCTGCATACACAGGCCGTGTACGTTCACTGCCCACCCCTCCACTTTTCACGGTATTTCTTGCCAACCCGAGTGCTCACTTGAGATGAGCGAGTTACAATATCCAATACAGTCCAACGATATTATGGAGAAAGGAGGTGACAAAAGCAGCCCTCCTACTCCCACAGGGCAAAAAGAGTTGCTCACTGTCTCCCGACTGACCTCTTTGACCACTGGAAGGCAGACGAACTACTCCTGCCCTCACCATCACCAAACCTACTGCCAGAGCACTGCTGCCTGCTCTTCAGGAGCACATGAGAGACAGAAACCACCTCGAACACGAAGGAGATCTCGGACCTGGGAGCTTGTCCTCCCGTCGCCTTGCCTCACCCCGGTCAGTAACAGTACTAGGAAAGCGCGCGTGTGCGGGGCGGGGGGGCGGTAACCACAGCAAACGCAGCAGCA